CACACACACACACACACACACACACACACTGAGTAGAAGTCTGCTCAGATGAATAAAACTACCTGTATGGGTTTACCATGGCTGAGCAGGGTAAAAAAAAATCCCTGCGCTGAGTAAATCCATTTTCCATTCAGCTTTGTTTACTTTAAACATGTCCGACATTCACACCTGGACAAGTTTCCTCCATTTCATTACATTTGGTAAATGTTCAATATCTGTCCTTTTAGTATTTGAATATGTAAAACAGCTCATTATCATGTTTGTTCATGTAAATCAGTCCCTGGACTGGACATAAACTCGTTTGTCGGCAATGTCCTCTCAGTCTTTTGTTTGTGCTCTGAGTTGTGGTCAAACGCTACAAGGATGAAGTCAATATTCAGTTCCTCCTTGTTTTTGACAGCAATGAAACCCACCCCTACACGTTCTTTACAAAATATCAAATATGCAACAACAAAAATTCATAACTTGTATATATTAGAAATGCTAATGTGTCTCCAATTAACCTAAACTGCCTGTTTTTAGACTGTGAGGAAGCTGGAGTACCTGGAGAAAAGAATACTTCATGGAGTAATTCATTAGGATTCATCAATAAGAAGATTTATCCTTTATCTATATCGCTTATCCTTTGAGGGTCATGGGGAGTTATCTGGAGCTAAACCCAGATTAAACTGGGACAAACTACCGTTCACATTCACGCTTATAGGCAAAATAGAGTTTTCAATTAACCTAACTTTGTGTTTTTGGACTGTGGGAGGAAGCTGGAGAAATCCCACGCAGACACGGGAAGAACATATTAATTCCACATAGAGAAACCCCCGATCGGCATCAGCTTCAAACCCCGAACCCTCTTCTTGTGAGCCGGCGGTGCTAACCACCGCATATTTACAAGAATATGATAATTTCAAATCAAAATGAGTGTTTTTAAGTGTATAAAGCAGCTGTGGTGAGTCTGGATTCTCGTTGGTTAAAAGAATCAGGTTTTTATGAAAAATGAAAATGAAACAAAAATGTCCACGGACACGTCTCAAACTGCTCTTGCAGCACAATCCACTTGTCTTCTGTCCGTCCATAATCTCCTCTGTACATCACTTACAGCATCATCACCTCGAGCTTTCCTGGTTGTTTGGTTCTGTGTAAGTGAACACATGTTTTCCACACTGTGGGCAGGAGTGATTTGCATCTTGTAGTCCATGAACAATGAGCGGGATCAGACAGAAACCACAGAACAGCCTGAAACACAAGTACAGTACAGGTTTAGTTAAACCTGTAACGGCTCTCTGACATTAACATGTTTGTGTGTGTGTGTGTGTGTGTGTGTGTGTGTGTGTGTGTGTGTGTGTGTGTGTGTGTCTCACCCCAACACTGCCAGAAGTATACACAGGCCCCAGGCATCCTTGCTGGGTTGGTACGTGACTTTAGTGGTAACAGTTTGGTGGCAGTGTGGGCAGCGTACCAAACCAGGCTTCCTCGTCAGATTTGACAGTGCGATGGGGACAGTCTGTGTTGCACCAACTGTACAAGGACAGAGGACAATATCAAGGGGTAAAATACAAGGAGGGAAGGGGAGGAAATATAATTTTCACCTGCTCGGTTGGATTATGAAGGCAGGCCTAATACCTTGTGTGCGTGGATGGATTATGTCTCCAGTGTTTTGAAGAGTTGAGCTCCCAGATGTCGGCACAGAGGGCAGAGACAGGACAGGAAATGGATCCTGCTGGATCGTAACTAGTGAAAAATAATGACTTAAACCTTACTTCACCTTTAAGTAAAATTCAATTCTTGAACACATCTCTTTCTCTCTGTTTCAGCTCTTTATGCAGATCTTTGCAAAATAATAATAGATGCTGATCAATGAGAGTTGGGAGTTCTGCACCAGCAAGAATAAAACCTTGAGTGACCTTTAACTTTCTCTTCTCATTCATTTTAAATACCTGTGTTTATGAGGATTCTGCAAAAACAACCTGGAAATGCTGATGACAAGATTCACACAGATTCATGTAGAATGCTTTCCTTTAATATTGTCCTGACGATCTCCACTCACATCTTATTTAAAATTCACATAGTATAAGATCAGCTGTGGCTCGTTTGTTCAATTTCTGCTCATTAAAACTCCTTCTCTCTTTATCACACATACTGTGAGAGACATTCTGCCCAGGTTCCTCATTTTTGATTTGGGTTATTCATTTGCTCTAATGTTCAGGAAACACATCACAGTCCTCACGCTGCTGCAGCTCCTCTTTTCAGCCTCTGTCTGAAACACTTGGTTTTAGCTCCTGTCTCTTTAAGACCCCCCTCCCTCCTGATAAAGTCCAGTCTGTAGTGATTAACAAAGCATCATGTCTCCTTTAATGTCGTCGTGTTCACAGTTGAATCCTTTTTAAATAGTTTCAGTTTTCAGAATTAGACCAAACTACTGTCTGACTGCAGGTTTTTCATCCACTGACATGTGAACAAAATTGCATCATGAAGTCATGGAGTCTTGTGAAAAACTAAAAAAAATAGGCTGAATTCACATTTTAAACGTCTGATTGCAGACAAGGAGAGAGGTGACAAATCTGGCTTCTCCTCATATCCACAGCTTCACTTTTTCACTGATGCTTTTATTTTGATATCTACTTTGCTGCTGAAATATTTAAATGTTCCTGTTTCTCATGTTTTCCTAATTATTTCAAGTTTTTTTGGTCTGCACTAAAAGACAAGATTCAGATGTATCCTATCTGTACACACTCTCCAGAAAGCTTATCTAATGAGTGAGAAAACCCCCAAAACAAGGAAAAGAAGATGAATGTGCAGAGTTGAAAAAAGTGAGAGCCGAGAGATATTACTCTACCTGCTTCTCCGTAGGTGGGAGGAGGCGTGGGGGGGGAGGAGAGGGAGGCGTAGTAGGAGGGGGGAGGTGAGGTGTTCAGTCCTTGAGTGTTCAGAGCAGGAGGGTGGAGAGTGGCCTCTTGGTATGAAGGAGGTTCCATCAGGAGATCATCCGGTCAAACAGGATGCTGTTGATTAGGACGGACAGAGATGGAGATAACGTTCATTGTAATGCACGCAGACATTGAGAGAAGAGCCAAAAACCAGAGGGAGTTTAAACTTGAGAATTCTGAATAACCAGCATGTGTTCAATTAGACTTTTTCATTCTCCGTGGAAGAGAGACTGATGTCCACATTATGGAGTCACTCTGGGATGAAACAAAAAGTTTGGACAAACCTATTTGGCAAGTACCCTGAAAAACCGGTGCTAATACTTTGTATGTAGTTATCTGATAAATAAAACTGATATTTTCTTATTTTTTTTAAAGCATCCCCTTTACTTTCAGTGTTAATAAACTTTGCAACGCACTTTATTTCTCCTGCGTGTCCCGGATGTTTTCTAAATACTGGTTGTTTTACTTTTATGTCTTCAAACATCAACAGTCCTGTAAATTCTGTGAGTGAAACAATCGGAGAAAGATCCCTGCTGCACCGTGAGGGGTTTTAAAGTAGATTTATTTCAAGGGGTGAGAAGCAAAAACGACTCATTTGTTCAATAGACTGTGAATAAAGATGGACGACATGACAGCTGCCAAAAGTGAAGCCAAAGTGTCTCATTGTCTTGTTTTGTTCGGTGTCGAGGTTTAAAGGTGTGCCAGTGAGCGCCGTCACTGAGACAGAAGTATAAGAATGTGTGTGTGTGTGTGTGTGTGTGT